TGGAGGAAGTATAAATTTGTGGAAAAACTATGAGAGGAATTTATCAATATTCAAAATTAACACTTTATACACTTGTTGGCCCAGAGATTATATTTTAAAAAGTTTTAAATTGTTTTTCTATCCACACATGAAATTCAATATACTAACAACAGGAAATGGCATGATGATGAGCTGTACAACCATTAAAATATTAAGATGCTTTTATAATAATCCCTTTTTCCCACAAACAATGCATTCTATGATACCCAGTGAATACATGAAGTCATAAGGAATCCTGAACAGTAGATTTGCAATTTCCCATACATACCTTGATAAAGTTTAATGTACAATAGTGACTAATAGTAACTGTAAAACAATTGATACATTACAAGTTTGCGTGTGGTCTTCCTCACTTTCTCAAAATGTTCTATTTTATAGAGCTTTAACTTTTTCATATGATGATATGAACTGATAACTTGCCTATGTAATAAGATACAAGGAAGTGGACGTGTAAGCACTTACTATACCCTGTGGCTACAGTGTGAGGTACAACAAAACACCAAAGTGACTAATAGTTATTATCACTGAATAGAGAGAGGACTCATTAAAACCATAGTTCCTAGAAACACCAGCATATTTCCCTTTCCTTTTCTCCTTCAATGGCTTTCACCTGTTCACTAATTGGAAGCACTTCACAGTTTCTCTTTGGCGTATCTAAATTGTCACAACTGAGTACTCTTGTACTGTTATTCAGTAAAATGAATGTTCCTTGAAAATAAGTAATGTGATATGACACTTGATGTAACAGTGACAGCTTCTGAATGATTGCTGGGCAGAGTGGGAACAGAAGTCAGGAGCATAGTAAACAATGCCATCAGAAGGACACACAACATAAAACTTAGAAGTTATTTATTTTTTGGAATGTTCCCTTTTTAAGAACTTTAAATACCCTCGAGTCTCTCTCTCTCTCTCTCTCTCTCTCTCTCTCTCTCTCTCTGTGTGTGTGTGTGTGTGTGTGTGTGTGTGTGTGTGTGTGGTGTGTTTGCTAATTTGTACATATGTATGAGGTGTTCATGGAGGCTAGAAGAGAACTTCTGATCCATGGTTCTGGAGATACAGGTAGTTGAGAGTCATCTGAATGGATGATGAGAACCAAACTTAGGTTCTCTGCAATAGCAGTTAAGTGATCTTAGTTGTTGAACCTTCTCTCCAAGCCCCGATTTTTAAAATTTCACTTAATATTTCTTTGAACTCCTGTTGACTAAAAGAAACTGCAGAATATCAAACCTTAAACATGGTGAAAGGAACATGCGTCTGGTTTGAAAGTAACTTTTATTAACCTACTGAAACTAGAACAATGCAAACAGTGGAGCAGAATGCTATTTATGCTTGTAGACTCCCCTGGCTAAGCACTGAGCTGAACTCAAGAAATCCAGTGGCAGAGAGGGAGGACTGATGACCAAAGGGGTTAAGACTGGGCTGGTTTAACCCCCAGAAACAGCTGACCTGACAAGGGTTAGCTCTTGAATCCCAGGCTAATGCCTGGGAATCCAGCATGGGACAGATCAAGACCCGCTGATTGCGGGTGTCAGTGACGAGGCCTAGATAATCTATTGAGCCTTGGGTAGTAGATCAGTATTTATCCTGGGTATACAAATGGACTTTGGACTCCCATCGAACAGTGTGAGATGCACTCTCACCCTGAACTCTTGGGGGAGGGTCTAGGGCCTGCCCTGGATGAAATGACAGACTATGGACACCCCCATGGAGGGCCTCACCCTCCCTGGGGAAATGAGGAGATATTGGGGGGATTGGTGGGAGGGCACGGGAGGACGGGAGGGAAAGGGAGAGGGACCTGGAATTGACATGTGAAACAACCTTGTTTCTAATTTAAATTTAAAAATAAAAAAATAAAAAAAATAAATGGGCGTGGAACATCCATATATCAAATGTTCTTATATTTTCCTGGATAAATTCTGGTATGACACCAAAGAAATAGTATTAATAATGGAAATCTACTGTAGTGGATTCTGAGAAGAGACTGTGCTAGAGATGTATGACTTTGTATAATGTAATATCTATGTTAAGAAATTTAGCTCAGTGAATACACTTCATTTTCAAATTACTTTTGGAATATGAGTCATTTTTTAATAATTTATGTTAAAGTAGTATATAGAAGCAATAGTGTGGTTTCATATAAAAATATTCAAAGTATATGTGTATGCCTGAGGTTTTATGAGCCTTGAGATTTTAATACTGATTTCATTAGTCATGAGTTTTTATACAGTATTTTATTACTTATTTGAAAATTTCATAAAATGTATTTTGATACTTATCTCCCACTTACTTCTCCTCTTAACACACTCTTCCAAATTCTGTCCTCTCTCTATATCTATCTATCTATCTGTCTGTCTGTCTGTCTCTGTCTCTCTTTCTCAACCCACTGAATTCATTTTAGACTTAACATTATATTCATAAGTATGAGGCAATAATAACTGGAACCATGACCAATCTACCATGGATCATAAACTTAAAGAAAACTGACCCTTCCCAAGAAGCCAACAGCTTTCAATAGTTCATCAGAGATGGGGCATTCATGATTTTAAAAGATGATTTTTAATATCACTGATAATGAGTTATTTCAAGAGATGGGAGATAGGCAAGGGGCAAGAATAGGAGAGTAACATACAGTTCATAATGGACTAGCATGTCTAACATAAGTCTGCATGCAGCATGGTGAAGTACACTCTTAAGCATTTCAGTTCATTAACTCTTGCAAAACTTAAACAGGACTAGTTTAAGATGTTGTGCCATGACTGAATGGAGTGTTCAACTGCTGGGCTTTCTTTAACACATGAGATATAACAAGAGCTTGGTGAATTAGAAACATTACTTCTGATATTTCTCATCCACCTTTGATTCTTTTACAATGACACCAACAGATTAACTCATCAACTTGACTCAGATACATGCTGTGTCCCACATACTTTTCGCAAGCCACAAGGGTTCTGTATCTGTATGGGTGGATGTTTTATAAATGAAGTTGTACAAAAGTTGTCATCCTTCAAATAGAACTTAGATAATTATTATCTGACTCCAGAACCTGACACAAAGGAGTTGAATTGTGGTCAGTTTGGCTATATTTGCTGATAATCATATTGCAAATAATTCATGATTATTATAGATGCCCCTGAGCCTTCAAATATTTTTATACTGTGCTAGAGATTTTATTGGGCATCAAAAAATTCTCTCTATTGAACTTAGTAATTTTCAGGTCACTTTGATGAAGACTGCAGTCACTCCTGGAAATTAATATAATATAAATCCTTTGATGTTGTTATTCATGTATAAATTATTCTTCTTCCACATAGTTAAGGAGATGTTTATATCATGGTGAGTATATCTGAAATCTTCTAAATGAGAAATGATAATGAACATCTTAATTAGCATTATTAAATACATTTATATTATAAAGATGTTATCCAAACATCACATGCAGTTCTATCAAACCATCAATTTCCCAATATAAATTTTGAATTTCAAGTTTATCTCCCTATTATAGTTTTAAGAAGTTGAAAAAATCAATAGAATCTACATTTTTTTACCTCAGGTTTTCCAGACTTTAGGAAATGTAAAGCAAAGCAATAAAACATTCAATTTTCAAAGTAACAAAAAAAATCTATTGAAAAGTGTTAAGTTAAGGAGTCAGATGAATTAAAGTCCAGAGCTTCCTGTAGTAATCATTCTAATATTAATGATGTAGGATATGCTGTTTTCTTACCAACCCTGATAGTTCATATGAGCAGTCATCTATCCAGACCTGCGATGGAATATTAGTTTGAGATGTGTTATATTCATTTATAGTGTGGAATATTTGTTTAACAATGCAAAGATCTGTTGCATTCTTTTATGTTGAATTTTTTAACTCTGTAAAGCTGTGTTACTTTACTTGCTTAAAATACCTGATTGATCTAATAAAGAACTGAATGACCAATATCCATGCAGAAAAGGGAAATAGGTGGGGCTGGTGGACAGAAAGAATAAATAGGAGGAGAAATCTAGGGGAACGAGGAGGAGCAAGAAGAGGAGAGGAGTATACCAGGGGCTGGCCAGCCAGCCATATAGCTAGCCATGGATTAAGAAGGAAAGAAAGACATATGAAATAAAGAAAGGTAAAAAGTACAAAGGCAAATTGTAGTTAAAGAGAATGGGATAATTTAAGTTAGAAAAACTCTCTAGAACCAAGTTAAGCAAAAGCCAGGTATCCTTAAGTAAGTAAAAGTCTCCATGTATCTGTTTGAGAGCTGGGTGGAGGACCACCAAAGAATAAGTAAAACAACTCACAGACCCTTTATTCTCTTTCTTTTCTAAGGAATACAATACTGTGTCTTCTCAATCATGTACATGTTTTAGAGATGGACTAACTTTGAATTTACAAGAATTTGGTGGCCTATGTAAGGATCTAACTCCCATAACAGTGCTATTATATAAAACAACCTAACAAAAACAGACAGGGCACATAGGCATGTTCAGTGGTTATGGGAAGAGGAGTGGGTGGAAGATAGATAAAATTACTCTTTAAAGAAAGGGTTGAAGCAATTTTTGGTGGAAAGGGTAGATGATTACAAAGAAATCATTTCTGACAAAAATCAATAATGAGACAATTACCCTTTGAACTCATTGCCATAGAAAATCTATTTCATTACATTTTATTTCCAAAAGACTAATTTTTAAATTGGCTCCCATTGTCTAGCATAACATTTTTACTCAAATAAAAAGACACTCACAAATATCTTTCCAAGAAAAATGTAAAATAATTTTTAGGGCATATATATATGTACATATATATATTTAAAAGTATATTTATCAAGTAGTCAGATATGACCAATGATTAAGCTTATAAGATATTATATTTAGATGAAATAATTAAGATAAAGTAGAAAATTACAGTGTATGCTAAAAAGTTATTATATATAATTTATGTCTAATAATGTTTAGTATTACAAAATCTAGCAATATCGCAGTCATAAATCAATATTATTTAGGACAGTTCAGGATTCTAAAATGATCTATAAAAACTTTTTTTCACATTCTCATTCATATTGGGAGGTGCTTACCACGCATTTAGGTCACTAATTTGCTGTTTCTTTTTGTTTTGAGTTGGGGTGTTACTCTGTAACCCAAGGTAGCCTGGAATTCAGTTTTGCCTATAATTCCATACAGTACTCCTGTCTCAGTTTCCTAAATGCTGGGCTTGTAGGTCGGAGCCTTCACACCAGATAACAGTCATTAATGTTAGCTACACATTTTGAAGACGACTGAGAAACCTAGGAAGTTAGATATTCACAGTTGAAATCAGGACACAGAATATTTCCATTGATTTAATGGTTGCCTTACAACCCTTTGGAATCAATATCCTTTTTCATCTACAGTTTCTGGAAACCACTTAACTATGAACTTTGACTTTTCTTGAATTTCATATAAATGGAGTAATGCAACATACTATAGGTTTGGCATTTATTGTTTGTTTGGCCATCTTATTTTATTCTGTTCAATGCTTTATGGATTGCTACACACTTAAGTATTAGAGTATTCAATTGCTAAGAAGTTCACTATTTGTGATTCAAACTGCTTATCAATTCATTGGAGATTATGGGTGGCTTGATTGTGTTTTATCCATTATAAACAAAGCATTTGTGAAATCATTGAATTCTGTAAGTTTCAGACCATGTGCAAGGCCTTTGGCTCAATCTTGGGCATCACAGAAAATTCACAAGTAATTTCAAGTCATACATTTTCATTTATGTGGTACTAAATCTGGAGTGGAATGTTGAGTCACATGGTAAGTGTATCTGTAACATTATAAGAAGCAGTTGTACCTTTCCAGGTGGCTGATCCAGTTGAAATTTCCATTCAAAACACTTGTGCATTCCAGTTTTTCAACATCCTATATAATCATGGAGCAGTACTTATTTTGATCATGAATCACAAAAACAATCAAATTTTAAATTAATTTCTATTTAAATTAGAAACACTCTTATTTCACATAGCAATCCTAGTTCCCTCTACCTCCTGTCCTCCCATGCCAGTAGTTTGATCTATAGTTTAAATGAAATATTTCATAACTTTTCACTTACATTTCCATAATAATCAAAATCTAATTCCAGATGGTTGGCTCATTCTTTGAAAGCATGTCTAATTTTCCCTATCAAGGATCAGTTGCCTAGAATTAGAAGGGAAAGCAGGGTCAAGAATAATTTGATGAACTTTGAAATTTAAAATTTCCACTTATTTCCCTCTCAATCTTACTGGATAGCTAAATAATCTAAGCACCTAAGAATCTGATAGCAATGCATTGAAAAATATACATCTGATCACCTTTAAATACATTCATTTTGCTTGTTTTATTTTACTTAAATATGACTACATACACATGTTTATATTTATGTCTGTAGTTTTCTTTACTTATTAATAAGATACATTTGCAATTATTTTGTATGAATACATATACTTGTTTAACATTACTGAAAAATTTGTTTTCATCTTATAATACATCTTTTCCCCTTTCAAATCCTTCCATTTACTGCTCCTTGCTCTCTTTCAAATACAGCTTTTTTAAATTATTTGTTGTTACAGATATATGCATACACATACTCCTAAATATATAAATGGAATTTATGCCATCTTTCAAATGTGGTTTCAGGGCTTATCATATGGTATTGGATAACCAGTAGGGTTTGCTTTTCCCGGGGAAGACTCTATCTCCCTTTCTTGTTATTCCTAAGTTGCCTGTTGTTCTTTATGTAGGCCGAGGACTCATGAGCTTCACCTTCCATGTTAGCCCGACAGCTGGTGTCCCCTTGTTCAGCTCATGTTATGGCAGATAAGGAGTGAAATTAGGCTCAAGAACAATTTGACTTGGAGTTTTTAGTTTGCCATGAAACTAAGCAGGAGATTGATAGCAACTCCTTGACCTTTGAACTGCTCTAGGGCTTCATGTGACAGAAGGGTTAGGGCAGAAAGGCAGCACAGAAGAAACAAACCAGCAGTATTATGAGCTTATTCAGCTGTCATCCTCAGCCAGCATAGTGACCACCTTTTCTGTTCATTTTTAGAAACTATTTTGCATAAGTGTCTGTAACAAATGAATGGAAATGAAAAAGAAGTTATTAGCTTGCTTAAATTTTGATTTAAAAATAAGGCTAAAATTATCTAAAGATCTTACATTTAACAAGTTATTCATATATGGTCCCTCATCTTTTCATCCTATTCAATACAGGTTTAGGTACCTTAGGATAACAAATGTTTGACTTTGACATGGTAACAATATTAAACATCATTGAACCAATATGACACTCAATCTAGAGATAATAGGTTCATGTTTATTCTGTGTGTAGCTTGCTAATTAGGGTTCATTTTGAAAATCTAGTGAACTAGTCTCTGCATTTTCCATAAAAATTCTTCCAAATAATCCCTTACACAAATGAATATTCAGCTAAAAACTGCATATAAAAGGCTTTATATTAGCAAAAGCTGTGTGAAGTTGCAGATATCACTAGGACAATGATTCAGCTTTTCAGCTTAGCAAAGTGGCATAGTCCAAGGTCACTGAATAAATTACATGGTATCAGAAAAAGAAAATTACACCCTGACATAGTATGATTTTAATAAAAAATGAAAATAGGATTTATGACCTCCTTTCTTCAGGCTACTAATGTTCATTGACAAAAGATAAATTCTGTTGGTGACAGTACTTTGATCCGGGTTACCAAAATGTCACCATCTAACATTTGCCAAAAGGAGAGGCAGAGTATACACAGAAATTTTTATACCCATCTGCCTTTGCAATTAAGCCAAATATGTTTGAAGTAAACAAGTTCATTCAAATAAGTTCATTTTCCCAATGCAATACTAGAAACCTAATGACTAAATAAGACACAGGCCTATCTTGTAACAGACAAAAAGTAGCAATGCTGATGGAAAAGAAGTGGCAATTTAATTAGAATATTAAAAATGGTTGAACACACCTCTGGGTGGCCTTGACAGGGCTACTGCAGTCCCCAAAGGCCATATTCTGCTGAGTCTCTTACAAGCTACCTCTGCATACGATATTAATGAACATTGTCATTAACAACTTATAGCATCAAGTAAGGGAATGGGAAAAGCATAAATTAAAAATGTAGTGAGTCTTAGGGCACCTTAACATAGTGTAGGTTTGGATCAGCTCACATTACACCCTGATTAAATTTGAGAAATTAGCTAAAACCAATAAAATGAAATATATTTAATATGAATATAAAAGGGTTCAACGATGGCAGATATTAACAGATGCCCTCATTTAAAGTGACAAAAACCAAGATACACTCTGGATGGTTGGATGCATGAATTAATGAAGCTGTTAAGAAGATAACATTTTACTGAATACATTGTAGAAGAACATCTTCTGTGGCAGTTAATATCTTTTTACTCAGCCTCAAAGGGGAGAAAAAAAGCCATAAGTTTACAAACTCCAAAATGTCAAGATGTTGTTCATCAATTAAAAACAACAAGACAAAATTCTTCTTGGCAAAACAGGGTACTGTAGAGCATAATTAGGAAGAAGCTTCCCCATATGCAAGGTCCTTTGTGTTTAGAGGATAACCTTTCTTAATATGCTTCCTTGGTTTTATGAGTTCATCTTCCTACCCACGCTTCTTCAGGCTTTCATTTTGCTGCCAACTCCTTGAACTTTTCATCTGTATTTCTGCCTCTGCTTCCTGCCTATTTTCTGATGTTTCCACAATAACCCTATTTTTTCAATGTTTTTACTTAAGAGCTACTGAAAGCATCTGGCACACCTTCTCACTGGCTCCCCACCCCACCCCCAGTCTTGATTTCCCTTCAATTCTAGCATTTGGCTTCAGTTCTCTGCTTCTCTTTTGAAATACCTTCCTTTACAGGTTCCCCACCTCCATCCTTGCTCTTTTCGGTTTCTGGGTCTGACTGCCCTCCCTTGTCAGTTGAAGGACTTTTCTATTCGCCTACATAATAACAGTGAAATTTCCTAACTATGTGTCTTGAACTCTTCGGTTTTAATTCTGTTTTCTCAGCTATGGCCATACTTAGTCTTCAGGGATTCAGTTAGCATCTTTGTCTGGTCTTCCAACTTGCAACTTTAGCTTTGAGCATGTGTCTTATTACTCACTCACTTTATTACTTAGTCTGCTCACCTGAACAATCTCAGTAACAAATTTCCTGAAAACAACATTTCTATTTGCAATTATTTTCTTATTTATTACATGAGTAGAGTGACAGTATTCTCTTTTTGCTAAATTTTGCTTCTTGAAAATGTCTTCTATTTATTTGATCAGATCCTTAGCATCAGAATGAGCACATTTCTTCCCTGGCCACAGTGGCCAGTGAGCTTTAAGCATCCTATACAAAATATTGAATTGCTACAAAGGTTCTCCACATGATTTCTGATGCTTACTGAATCTAGTACCCACCCAGTCCTCTCTGGTTTTCTGATAAATATCATTAATGCACATTCCATCATTATTGTGTAGAGCATCTCATGACCCTCAGACTGCAATGCACCTCTGCTTATGTCTTAGTCTTTCAAAAATCCATAACCAAATGAATTTTCTTTCCACTGTCTTTGAACTTGCAATCTGTGTTAATCAGCCTATCTTCATTCTTAACTACTATTATGTGCATCACTGATATTTTGTATTCAAAATAACATTTCTCCCATTTTAAACTGTAATTTATTTATAAGCATTAGCTAACCTCTGAATTTCCCTCCAAATCTAAGTCATTTCTTTATTTACTTGGGAGAAATAATGCCAACTTACATAGGTACTATATTCTTTAAATTCCAGCTCACAAATCACTATATATATTTTATGTATACCTATACATATATGACTGACTGTGTATGTATGTATGTAAAAATCACTATTAAATAATCAAGCTATTCAAAATTAGTTTTTGAATATAGTTTATATTCTTAAACAATGAAAACATTACTATAGTTTCCTAGGGACACATATATTGTCTTACTCAAAACGTTGGATACTCAGCAACATAGGTCAACATTATGAAGCTCATTCTTCATGTCAGTTAGAAGTCTCATGATAGTCAATGTAGTTATGCCAACAGTCTTTATTTGTAATTGCAAAAATGCTTTTGTTTTTAAAGAAGTGTTAATATAGCTCCATAATATTTAATTCAGTATGTCGTGAGTAAAGTCCTTAACCATATAGTATGTAGGGATTTGTATTGTATCATCAGAATGTAGGCTAATACTTTTGTAATTATTAGACTTATATATGCATACATTACAGATAAAATATGAATCCACAATCTCACCATGCTTACTCAAGCACACAGAAAATTTGAAGTGTATACAAGTATGTCATTATTTTCCCCCATAAAAGTGGTGACAAGATTTGTGGGCCTTTTTGCTGCCTATGAATACTTTTCTAATGTTAATTTAAACAATCTAACCCATCTTAGCTTGTTTGATACCTTAATTCGTTTCAGTGTTTGTTGATGACTGTGTTGTATAGTGAACTTTTGGATCCAGAAACTTTCTATATTATATCTTGCTTTGTCTTTCATCACAAATTTATATCTTCCTCCATGGTTCTTCAAATTTGCAGATGGTGATAAACTACACTTGTCAAAAGCAAAGACTTTGTCTAGATCAATCAGGTTCTCAATTATGATCTCCCTAACTGTGGGAGCAGGCATCTCTGACTCTTTAGCCGGCTCTTAGAACACTTTCCCTCCTTTTGGGTTGCCTTGTCCAGCCTCTATATGAGGGCTTTTACCTTGTCCTATTGTATGTTGTTTTGTCCTGTTTGACTCTCTTGGAGGCCTGCCCTTTTCTGAAGAGGAAATGGAGGGGGAGTGCATCTGTGGGAGAGGGGAAGTTACAGGGATGGGAGGAGTGAAGGGAGGGGAAACTGTAGTCAGGATGTTTAGTATGAGAGTAGAATCCATTTTCACTAAAAATAAAAAAATGAATGTATGATTTGAGTTTCTTAAGCTTTGTATCTTGGTCATTAATTATAAGTGTGACTGTTGATATGGTTGCATATATTATGTCCTCTGTAAAAGTAAGTTATTGGCAGAATTCACAGGGTCATTTTATTATTGAACCTCTATGACTTGGTACTTAAAATCTAGTCATCATTTGTTCTTTAATTAGTCAAACGTATTTATTTTGTAAGTTCGGAA